ATGATTTATAGGATTACATAGGGTAAATGTTGATATTGGACCAAGTCAGACTAAGAACTCAAGGTCAAAGCTTCAGGCAAGCTGCAAAAAAGTATGATTTGGTCAGAATCGGAAGAATGCTGTCCATGTTCGGGGCCATCATGTAATTCCCTGAATTAGCATCCGTTCCATTCTTGTAGATCCCATGAGGATTCTTGGTTGGAATTGGTCCCTAGAAACGAATGCTTGTCATAAAACGTGATCAAATGGAGCAAGTTGGAACAGGGCTCATGTCTTGCTTGTTTGCATGTTATTATCCTCTGATGTTGATCACAGTATCGATAATGGATTGTCTGGTCTGCACATGAATGTTGATTGTTTTCAACAATCGGTCTCACACCTGAACTATTCTGGTCTGGTGTTGTAAATAACATTCGTTGTTCATTCAACTTACCACATGCATGTTTTGAACCTGTGAATCAGTCAGGAGATTTGTTTCATTCAGACACTTTCTGGTTGTCCATTATCAGGGCCCTGTTTTCCGACCCTGAATGAGTATGTACAAGTTTTGACAATGCGGAAAGAGGTAAATTGTTGTAATTTTGCAAGCTGAGAGATGTCTGGATTGTTAGCGCAGGAATCTCCTCGTCTGGTTTGATCGAACGGTAAGTGCGAGACACGGAGACAGAAACATTCTTGTGATGGGTATCAGCTTCATCATTGTGGCAGCAGAAAATATGTTTCTGTTTGTCTTATTTCATGATGAAATACCAGTACATGTAGAATAGAGACATTAAGCCAGAACTTCTTTCTGTCTGGTGCAGTGACCCTGTGGTTCTGAACGAGATCATGAACACCCTCAGGGAGATGCATTATGAATGGAGTCTTTGTCTTATTGTAAGTTGAACAGGAAGTTGACATTTTTTTATGCCACTCGGAAAAATAACTTTGACAGCACTCACTCACTCACTCACTCCAGTGTCCCCCACCGTGATATTGCTGGAATATTGCTAAAAGCGGTGTAAAGCCGTACTCACTCACTCACTCACTCCAGTGTCCCCCACCGTGATATTGCTGGAATATTGCTAAAAGCGGTGTAAAGCCATACTCACTCACTCACTCACTCACTCACTCACTCACTCACTCACTCACTCACTCACTCACTCACTCACTCCAGTGTCCCCCACCATGATATTGCTGGAATATTGCTAAAAGCGGTGTAAAGCCGTACTCACTCACTCACTCACTCACTCAAAACAAATGATACTTATAACAAGTCAAATTTCAATTTCTTCACTAGGTGTATAACTGAACAATATGGCATGCTTGTAGGCTTTGAAAGTGAGATTTGTCCACATGTATACCACAGAGAAATGTATAGTTAGTAGTTCAAATCTTCTGTCACTATTAAAAGGATCTTTTAAACATGAGTGACAATTCAGGATAATGTTAAAGTATCATTTTCAATGTTGATTGAGCTGTTTATCTTCTGTGGAATCAACAAAGGATGTAGCGACTAGTTTGTGGGTCTGTTGTCGTCAGAAGAATGTTTCTGTATGTGTGACCAGCGTAGTTATGACACATGGTGGTATTTAAAGGTTTTATGAAGTTAGCTTTGACAGTTATTATTCTGGCATCTGCCACAGCGCCGCAGATTAAAAGCTCAGCTATCAGCAGAACTAGCCAGGGACCATTGCAGTGTAAGTGGTGAAATGTCTTTAGGAGCAGTCTGTCATCGTGATCACCATTGCCATCATCATGGTCATCTCCACCATCGTCTGTCATCAAGGTTCAACCCTGTGAGTGAGTGAGTGAGTTTGATTTTACGCCGCTTTTAGCAATATTCCAGCAATATCACGGCGGGGGACACCAGAAATGGGCTTCACACGTTATGCCCATGTGGGGAATCGAACCCGGGTCTTTGGTGTGACGAGCGAACGCTTTAACCACTAGGCTACCCCACCGCCCCTTCAACCCTGTGGGGTTCCTGGGTTTAAATTGTTCTTCTGTGACCTAAGAGGCTCAGGTGACCAAAGGTGGCAATATTGTTGTCGGCATCCTTGTCGGCATCATCATCATCATCATCATCATCATCATCATCATCATCATCATCATCAAGGTTCAACCCTGTGGGGATCCTGGGTTTGAATTGTTCTTCTGTGACCTAAGAGGCTCAGGTGACCAAAGGTGGCAATATTGTTGTTGTCGGCATCCTCGTCGGCATCATCATCATCATCACCATCATCATCACTTCCACCATTACCACCCTCGCCATCATCATTCTTGTTATTGCCTTATTTTTTTCCCTCCTCATCATCATCATCTTCACCATCACCATTACCACCGCCACCATCCTCATTGTTGTCCTCCTCCTCATCATCATCATCATCACCTCCACTGCCAAAGCGTGCGTCCTCATCATCATCATCATCACCTAAAACCATACTCAGTCAGTCAGTCCTCTTCATCATCTTCTTCATCATCATCATCATCAACTCCACCATTACTACCCTCGCCATCATCATTCTTATTATTGTCTTATTTTTTTCATCATCATCATCATCATCATCATCATCATCTTCACCATCACCATTACCACTGCCGCCATCATCATTGTTGTCTTCCTCCTCTTCCTCTTCTTCATCATCATCATCATCTTCACCATCACCATTACCACTGCCGCCATCATCATTGTTGTCTTCCTCCTCTTCCTCTTCTTCATCATCATCATCATCTTCACCATCACCATTACCACCGACGCGATCATCATTGTTGTCTTCCTCCTCTTCCTCTTCATCATTATCATCATCATCATCATCATCATCTTCACCATAACCACCGCCACCATCATCATTTTTGTCATTGTTGTATATTGCGGTCAAAATGTGTACAACAAACTACAGTTATAATAAGCTACATTTAGTGTCCCATTTGAGTTCATTACAATAACTATGCATCTTCAATAGATTCAGGATGAGGACATCTCAGCTTCTGCTCATTTATTCATGAAACTAAAGCTCATGCATGAAACCTTCATTACAAAGTCCCAATCTGTGCCCTGTTACATAAAATAACACAACCTATGATTCATCTCCAAATGTCATGCCGATGTATTCCTGGAACTGTGTACATCATTAGCCTGTTTCAGCAGCAGAGCCCTGCTATCTACTGTAAGATATGATACGCTAAGTACTGTGACTGTATGTATATATCACGGCGACGCCTTTGTGTAGTAATGAACCACGTCACAGAACACCAGGATTCAGCCTTCTCGAAACTAATCGTGTTTTGTTTATTATCCTAATCGTCTTTTGATGTGGTAGTATGAGAAAAGGTCTTGGGGATGTGAATCATGTTTATGAGGCGCAGCTAAGATAATATCTCCTGGTTTGGTATATATGTTGGCGACTATTTTTTTATTATTTTTTTTCTGGCCTGTCTTGTGTCCTTGAATTAACAAAGAATTTGTATTTTCTCCAGAAAGATCATTGAATCTGTAGTTTTGTCAGTTGAAAAATATTCTCATAACTAAAAAATATAGTGACCAACCATTTCTTGCATATTACGTTCATATACCTGTTATGCCATCTCACATTAAGTGAGTACTATGAAAGAACTGGATGGTATGTAACTTTAATTCAGTAGTATTTTTTTTAAAGTGTTAAAGGGTGCTGACTTCTGTTTTGCTTTCTGTATTATTAGATAATTTGTTTACGTTTTTACATGCAATTTCACCGACTACATCAAACTATTTACATACTAATGATAATAATGTGATATCCCAGAAGTCATCTTGACTTTGGTGTAACAGATGAAAAGGATATTTATTATGACAGCCTTAAGAACAATATTTGACAGTTTGAAACTTTACCATTAATGTTAAATGTCATGTTCAGACCCTATTTATATTTAATTTCAGTACTATTAATAAGTAGAAAGCATGCAGGTGTACACATAAGTAAATATATAATTTCAACAGGAATTGTTTTAGAGATAATGTTACCGCACCTTTCATCTGTCATAACTTTTAAATGCTGAAATATGAAAAAATGTTATGTGGGTACCACATTGAAATACACAGGCTCCAGATATGATGTTCTCTGTGTTCTACCAAGCATTAGACACAACCTGTCCACACCAAAATAGAGTTTCATCTTTGAGTAAGATAAGTGATAGCTTTATGGGATGAGGCTACAAATAGATCCTCTGAGAGTCAAATTGGTGATTATATTATTTGCTGAAAATCGATCTTCAATAAGTGTCCTTGATTTAAATGTCAGACATCGGATATGTTTCTACGCATAACTTGGGAAAGTTGGAGTTTTTTGCTATCCTCTGCCACAAAGGTCAAACAGTTAGCAGGCCTCCATCATGGAACAAACCGAAGTGGCACCGCCTGCATATTTGTATTCAGGAATATAATGGATAGGACTGGCAGTCGGTGATGAGTTATGGCAGCTTGTAGGTGACAGAAATCCATTAAAACAACTCATGGGCTACTGCATCCGTTCCACTTTGCATCCCAAACTGAGGTGTTTGCAGGAAACAAGAATAGAAGATTTATAGATTCCACATCATCCAGTATCTCTGTCCAGTCAGAATCGGAATGGTTACTTTGCTCCCATACCTGTTTACTTTTGGGATTTAGACAGATCGTCATTCTTTAAGTAAGATCAAAAATCAATGTCTCATTTAATGCATCCAGCAAGCACAACCCTTGCATCAATAAAAACTTCAAGATAAATATGGGTTGTCTCCCTTGACCGTTCACCCACTTCAGACGAATGGTGTTTTGTGGCCAGGAATTGATGGAACATTTTTTGAATCGATACAGAATCTTTCTAGCGTTTGTATTGATGTTCATCTTCTGTAGCTTCTTTACACACTCGAAATTTCATTCCTACGGCCATGTTTGACACTGAAACATTCATATTGATCTCTTTAACATGAATAGCCCCATAATGACAAGTGTGACTGATTTGCCATGATCTCTCACTCACAGTTGCACTTTCTTTTATAAGGAACTAGGACACTGCAGGGCATTCTGAATCGGGAAGATTTCAGGGAAGACACAGACTTGCCACAACTGTTATAGGGTAAGGTGCCTTAGTTCTCCTTCATCATCCCATGGGGGGATGCTTTCTATAAGGAAGCTTGATGCTGCGGGGGATGCTATTCTGGGAAGATTTCAGGGGAAACACTGATTTAACAAAATATTTTAGGGTGGGTCCATGATTTTCCATGTTTTTTTCAGGTGAATAATTGACTTGCCTTTGCATGTGTTTGTGGTGAATGCCACAGGCGGGGCAGGATACGTTTAAATTTAGCAAACGTTTCTTATCATCTCTTTTTGATACATTCTCATAATAGAGTAGGAATTGTACAATCGACTCTGATTCCTTGTGAACATAAAAAGAGTTTTGCTGCTTCTATTTGCATAATGCCAGTGTGCAGCGGAGGAGATGTGTTGAGAATCTTGCCACATGTGCTCTTTCTTCTCAAAAGAACTGGCAGCTCTTCAGTGTTGAGACATGTTTGGCAAGAGCTGGAGAAACACTTGAAGCTGCTGGAGATGAAAGCGTGTACCATCTATGCCAGATGCTTCATGTCCAGCAGTCACAAGAATCTTCCTTGTGTCAGGGATGCTCAGATGGAGTTTTGTCATCCTCATCTGGCTGCATTAGCACAAGAACATTGTAGAGGGTAGCCAAGCTGCAAGATGTAGGGAAGTCCTCGTTAAGACAGACTGATGAAGCTAGCCTTCAACAACAGGGCATTGTGGGCTTCCTCTGCATAATACAAAGAAGCATCAACTAGGATCACACAGCCTGGTTTGTTGTTTCAGTACAGTAGGGGCTGTGGGGTAGCCTAGTGGATAAAGCATCCTCTCGTCATGCCGAAGACACGGGTTTGATTCCCCACGTGGGTAAAGTGTGTGAGGCCCATTTCTGGTGTACCCCACTGTGATATTGCTGGAATTTTGCTAAAAGCAGCGTAAAACTTAATTGACTTACACTTAGCACAGGTTGGTAAAGCTTAGGACGATCTAGAACCTGTTCCACTGATCTTCAGTTATTGAGCAATTACTAAGACATCCAATTAAGACAGCATATATGTGCCAGGTTCTAACATATTATTAGGGAGAGAGTGGGGTTGAGGTGTTAGTTAACTTCTGGCATTTACTATTTTAGTAGTTGGTCTGATGAACCACAAGGAAGTTCTAAGGATATACATGTACACTGAAATGTCTCTTACATTAATAATAGGAAGTTGTATACCCATAAAACTTTTTCTGTCGAAGTGTTGGTGCTGAGACAAAATATGTATTTTCAAGGCATACAAGAACTGATCACTTCATTCTGATCCTCACATTAAAGAAACATCATGTGAGTGAAGTTTTGTTTTTAGAAAATGCATGATGTCATTTAGGCATATCAGCAACCAAATGTTCATCTGCTGGGTCAATAGGTATTTCCCAGGAGAGAGTACATTCCAGTCTCAGGAACTTGCAGTGATGAAAGCATCAGCTCATTTTTTCCAAAGCTTCTTACATCGGACACAAAATGCAACAGGCATCACATGTCTGGTGAAAATGTAGTTGTGTTGGTAGTTATTCCACAGTTCTTGGAACAATCTGTGACTGAATGAAACCTGAGCTACCTACATGCAGAGTTCAAGTAGCAGTCCACAAATACTAGAATAATTCACTTTCCAGGTGTTAGGGTAGACTATAGGGCTGGGACAGATACTCTGGTACTCGAATCCGGGTCGGGTACAGCTGGAATCGAGTCCTATTTCAAGGGATCGAGTACCTGGAAAGGGAGAGAACTCTGTAATGTCAAGGTCATGTAACTCTAACCTAGAGCAAAATGGGCAACACTCGTACTCAGCTGAGTGTTTGGGCTCATTTTGAGCTTGATGCAAATGGCAAGAGAACCAAATGCCGACTCTGTAGTACCATGTTATTTATTGCAGAAGCAGTACAAGTTCAATGCACAAACTTCTTGTTCTAAAACACAACGTAAAACATGAAGGTGTTCATTACATTGTGTAACTCTAATACACTCACCATAAAAGAGAATTAAATGATTGTATGTGTTGGGAATTTCAGTTAAAACTAATTAATTAACATAGTAAAACGAACGTTTAGTGAAAGAGCACATTCTGATTTGCAAATACACATGTACAATGTTTGACTGATTATCATGACAATAAGAAAAAAGATGTTCAGAAATATATATAGAAGCTCAACTCACGTAGAGCACATATAATGCCATTCAGTTACTATACATTTTATAGTTTAACAAATAATAATCAGCATACAATTATTCCAATGAAGATACGCAATGTTCACTTAGATTCAAATTTAGAATATTTAAATAACAATAGTTTTTGTGGCTTTTTTATTTAAACATGAAAATATAGCATTTAGATACATTTCTTTATCCCTACATTCAAACAGAAATATTTCTATTCGACTTTTAATAATCTTCTGGAAGGATAAAGATTTACTCACTACAAATATTTCATATACGATTAATGATTTATTCACGGCCCTGTATGAGTCTGTACTCTGTAATGTATAATAGACAAACTGTAATGCAACTCAGTTGCGCAACAGGACAACATGACCCGTCTTTCTAGCGAAGCATTTTGCTAAGCTGCTTAACTCAGTTGTATTACAGGTTGTCGGTCTGAAAATCACATTTAGAATGCCTGACTCTGAGGGTGTGAGTTCTAATCCCGGATGGGGTGCAACTCAAAAAACAGTACTAGAATTTGTTCTTTACTAAGAAAGTGTAATCCCAAATATAACATATGTTACATTTGACCATTTTCTAAATGGCATTGTGTAATCATAGCTTTTGGCCGTGGGAGCCGTGCCAATTAACACCTATCAGAGGGGTACACAAAGTCCGCAGTCTAGACTACCTGTTGTCCGACTTCTATTTTGTGTGGAAGTTGCGGTGGCTGAGCGGGTTAGGATGCTGACTTTGTTGCTGGCGATTAGGTGCGTGACTCTGAGGGTGTGGGTTCAAATCCTGGATGGGGCTCAACTCAATAAAAGTACTAGAATTTGTACTTCACTAAGAAAGTGTAATCCCAAATATAACATATGTTACATTTGACCACTTTCTAAATGGCATTGTGTAATCATAGAATTCTCCAGTCAGTAAATACATCAATCAAATTTTATTCTATGTAAGTACATAAAGTCTACATGTAAAACATTATAGGTTCAGTAAGAATATCACATCTGAAGGTAGTTGTCTACTGGTGGACAAAATAACTTGTCTTTTTCATTGATGTAACACACATTTATATCTTTGGTATTGTCCGGTTAATGGAGGTTATTATTAACGACTGTAATTTATCTGCACATGAGCAGTGAGTTGACAAGTCACAGTAACATCAGGAACGAAAAGTGCTGTGGAATGTAAGTAATGGTGTTACTCTTTATGTTAGTGAAACAGACGTAAAATAAATAGTGTAAGATCAGTTTCAATGTCTTATTGCCATCCTTTCAAGTTTTCTATAATATTCTCTGTCAAATCGTGACTGAATATTCAGAAAGTTGACAGAAGCGTTGTATTCCATACATTTCCGGGTACACGATTCCAATTCGGGTAAGTACATGTGGGTACTCGATTCCATTTTTTCCAACCCGTCCCAGCCCTGAAGACCCGAGTTCGATTTCCCACATGGATACAATGTGTGAAGCTCAATTTTGGTGTGACCCGCCTTGATGTTGCTGAAATAATGCTAAAACCTCTTAAAACTAAACTCACTCACTCACTGATTCACTTTTTTCAATTTTGTCTATGTATATTATATAGACTTGTCTCTGGAAAGCAATTAGCAAATTACTTGCTTTTTGTGAGTCTGACTCTGTGGCATCATGTCCACAACAAAATTAAAAATGATGCAGTTATTCAAAATCTTATCAATCAAACCCTGTACAGTTGTATTCTCTGGAAGAAAGAACTTCAGAACTCTCTCTCCTCAACCTCTTGTATCTCATTATTCAAATCATATAATTTGGAATATGTATGTCCATGGTATTGGTATTGTTTTACTGTCAAAGAAGCAGGCAAGGAAGGTGTTGTTGAATCATGTCCGGTCAAATTAAGCAGCTTTTAATTTGGTCAAGGACAGTAGGTTGATCGATGATGTAGATTGACTCCTGAGAGTTAATAGTGCTTAGATCCTGCTCCTTGTTGAAGCAAATGCTGCACGTGGCTTCACTACAGGTAAAAAAATATGCTTGTTTTTTTCATCCAGCAGTGAATGGGTACCAGGTAGGATAAGATGTAATAGTTGACCTTCCATCTCACAGGCAGTTTGGGCTATGTATTCCTGTGGAAGCTAAAAAAATTAATATGGATGTAAAAGTTTTGTGAACAACCGGATCACACACTATATAGGTTATGATTATGTCTGAACTGTGTGGTTCACACACTATATAGGTTATGATTATGTCTGAACTGTGTGGATCACACACTATATAGGTTATGATTATGTCTGAACTGTGTGGATCACACACTATATAGGTTATGATTATGTCTGAACTGTGTGGAACACACACTATACAGGTTATGATTGTGTCTGAACTGTGTGGATCACACACTATACAGGTTATGATTGTGTCTGAACTGTGTGGATCACACACTATATAAGTTATGATTGTGTCTGAACTGTGTGGATCACACACTATATAGGTTATGATTATGTCTGAACTGTGTGGATCACACACTATATAGGTTATGATTATGTCTGAACTGTGTGGATCACACACTATATAGGTTATGATTATGTCTGAACTGTGTGGATCACACACTATATAGGTTATGATTATGTCTGAACTGTGTGGATCACACACTATATAGGTATGATGATTATGTCTGAACTGTGTGGATCACACACTATATAGGTTATGATTATGTCTCTGAACTGTGTGGATCACACACTATATAGGTTATGATTATGTCTGAACTGTGTGGATCACACACTATATAAGTTATGATTGTGTCTGAACTGTGTGGATCACACACTATATAGGTTATGATTATGTCTGAACTGTGTGGATCACACACTA